TCCGACTTAGTTTTGTGAGATCTCTACAAAAAAAGGAAAATAATTCTTTTCACAGGTTTTTTTTTAGTCCAATACCAATAGTTTTTTACTTGAAAATAACACAAAAATTGGAAAAAATGTTATAGAATATTTTCGATTTATTTTAACGTTGTGTGTACAAATCACCGAGAAGAAATAATTTTTTCTCCTAAAAACTCTATTTACAAAAAAATCGAATACCAATAAAGTTTTATAATTGAAAATCGAACAACATATTACAAAACTCGAAAAATGCTATATAACATTTTCGATTTATTTTCACGGTATTTGTGGAAATCACTTGGGAAAAGGATTTTTTGATCAAAAAATATTTTCACAAAAAACACAAACTCATGGGACTTTTCTATTTGCAATTATTAATAAAATATCACAAAAATCGGGAATGTTATATACTATTTTCGATTTAATTTCATGTTACTTGTACAAATCATTGAACAAAAATTTAATTTCTTTTACTTGGGTTTTCTATTTGAAAATTTTCCCAAAATATCACAAAAATCTTCAATATTCATGTTTAATTAACATTCCAAATGCTCTCGTGAGATTTAGCTCTGTTAACATTCTTCTTTTCTGCNCCATCAATATTCATATTAAATTAACATTCCAAATGCTCTCGTGAGATTTAGCTCTGTTAACATTCTTCTTTTCTGCTTTGTATTTTGCTTTCGCTGTTAAGTATTCCAAATATTTGTCGCTCTTAAAATGCGCTTCGCCAGTTTAGTTGGCTCGAAAAATGTGGCATTCACAGTTCTTGGACCTTCTCTATAAATATACGTTCTCTGNGCTCAAAAAATGTGGCATTCACAGTTCTTGGACCTTCTCTATCAATATACGTTCTCTGGTTCAACCGCACTTTGGAGGAACACTAGCGAAAGGTGGTGGGGAACTGCCATCGGAATTGGGATAAACACATCCAAATGTTCCTGTTGGCCTATCGCTCAGCTGTACATGAAACTACTGGCCAATCGCCGGCTAGGACGCTCTTTGGAAGTGATTTAAAACTGCCGTGTCATTTAGTTTTCGGAAGAGGTGCTGCCCCCACAATGGACGAAGGTAGTCATTGGAAAACGCTGCAAGATGACATGGATAAGTTACACCATCATGTGAGGCAACATACCCAGCTAATGAGTGATAAGATGAAGGATCGATTTGATTGTGCTGTGAACTCTGAGGGATTTAAGAAAGGTGACTTAGTACTTCTTTATAATCCGCAAAGGAAGAAAGGGATTTCCATACAAGGTGGTTAAATGGCTTAATGACGTGGTGTATCGTATACAGTAATGCAAAACAGGACAGGCGAAAATCAAAGTAGTTCACCTGGACAGATTGGCTCAGTTTGGATAGAAGAATATTGTGTCTAATCGGGACGATCAGACTTAAGCGGAGGACAGTGTGACGGATATTGAAAAGTCGCGATACCACTAGCTACTTGTAGAGTTATTGCA